GAATGCTTCCAACTTTTGCCCATTCAATATGATACTGGCTGTGGGTTTGTCATAAATAGCTCTTATTATTTTGAGATACGTTCCATCAATACCTAGTTTTATTTAGAGTTTTTAGCATGAAGCGTTGTTGAATTTTATCAAAGGCCCTTTCTGAACCTATTGAGATAATCATGTGATTTCTGTCATTGGTTCTGTTTTATGTGATAGATTATGTTTATTGATTTGTGTATGTTGAACCAGCCTTGTGTCCCAAGGATGAAGCCAACTTGATTATGGTGGATAAGCTTTTTGATGTGCTGCTGGATTCAGTTTGCCAGTATTTTATTGAGGATTTTTACATCAGTGTGCATCAGGGATATTGGCCTTTTTTGTTGTGTCTCTGCCAGGTTTTGGTATCTGGATGATGCTGGCCTCATAAAAGGAGTTAGGGAGGATTCCCTCCTTTCCTATTTTTTGGAATAGTTTCAGAAGGAATGATACCAGCTCCTCTTTGTACCTCTGGTAGAATTCAGCTACAAATCCATCTGGTCCTGGGCTTTTTTTTTGGTTGGTAGGCTATTAATTACTGCCTCAATTTCAGAACTTGTTATTGGTTTATTCAGGGATTTGACTTCTTCCTGATTTAGTCTTGGAAGGGCGTATGTGTCCAGGAATTTATCCATTCTTCTAGGTTTTCTAGTTTATTTGTATAGAGGTGTTTATAGTATTCTCTGATGGTAGTTTGTATTTCTGTGGGATCAGTAATGATATCCCCGTTATCATTTTTTATTATGTCTATTTGATTCTTCTTTCTCTTTTTCTTTATTAGCCTGACTAGCAGTCTATTTTTTTTTTTTTTTTAAATAGCTCCTGGATTCATTGATTTTTTTTTTTTTTTTAGTTTTTCGGGTCTCTATCTCCTCCAGTTCTGCTCTGATCTTAGTTATTTCTTGTCTCTGCTAGCTTTTGAATTTGTATGCTCTTGCTTCTCGAGTTCTTTTAATTGCGATGTTAGGGTGCCAACTGTAGATCTTTCCTGCTTTTTCCTGTGGGCATTTAGTGCTACCAGTTTCCCTCTAAACACTGCTTTACCTGTGTCCCAGAGATTCTGGTATATTGTATCTTTGTTCTAACTGGTTTCAAATAACTTACTTATTTCTGCAACAAATATGTTGTTATTTACCCAGTAGTCATTCAGGAGTAGGTTGTTCTGTTTCCATGTAGTTCTGCGGTTTTGAGTGAATTTCTTAATTCTGAGTTTCTAATTTGATTGCACTGCAGCTTGAGAGACTGTTATGATTTCCATTCTTTTGCATGTGCTGAGGAGTGTTGACCAATTATGTGGTCAAAATTGACCAATTATGTGGTCAATTTTGGAATAAGTGCTATGAAGAATGTATATGTGGTCAATTTTGGAATAAGTGCTATGAAGAATGTATATGTGGTCAATTTTGGAATAAGTGCTATGAAGAATAAGTGCTGAGAAGAATGTATATTCTGTTGATTTGTGGTGGAGAGTTCTGTAGATGTCTATTAGGTCTGCTTGGTCCAGAGCTGAGTTCAAATCTTAAATATTCTTGTTAATTTTTTCTCTCATTGATATCTAATATTGGCAATGGTGTATTAAAGTCTCCCACTATTATTGTGTTGGAGTCTAAGTCTCTTTGTAGGTCTCTAAGAACTTGCTTTATGAATCTGGATGCTCCTGTATTGGGTGCATATCATATATATTTAGGATCATTAGCTCTTCTTCTTCTTGTTGCATTGATCTCTTTACCATTATGTAATGCCCTTCTTTGTCTCTTCTGATCTTTGTTGGTTTAAAGTCTGTTTTATCAGGGACTAGAATTGCAACTCCTGCCTTTTATTTATTTATTTTTTTTTTTGCTTTACATTTGCTTGGTAAATATTCCTCCATCCCTTTATTTTGAGCCTATGTGTGTCTTTGCACATGAGATGGGTCTCCTGAATATAGCACACCAATGGGTCTTGACTCTTTATTCAATTTGCCAGTCTATAGTTTTTGTATTTTTAGTAGAGATGGGCTTTCACCATGTTGGCCAGGCTGGTCTCGAACTCTTGAACTCAGGTGATCTGCCTGCCTTGGCCTCTCAGAATACTGGGATTACAGGTGTGAGCCACCATCCTGGTCATCCACGAACAAATTTCTATTAGTCAATACCAACAAATGGTTTTTCTGAAGACGTATGAAAAATGGGCTTATACTGTCAAATAAAATGGAGTCCCAGAGGGATATATATGCAAAGGCAGGTTATGTTTCTTTTTTGATGCATATTAGTACATAAGATGTAGAGAAACATTTACTATGGCAATTAATAATGACAATACTGCACTTTATTTCTTCCAAAGACCTCACCAAAATAAAGTCAATTAAGAATTTCACTTGGCTCAGTCACTACATATCCAGAATACTGGCTGGCTATCTATTTTCCTCAAACATATATGTGTGTGTGTATACACAAACACACACTTACACACACACACACACACACACACACACACACACACATACACACACACACACATATTCCACGCTCCCCACTTTTTCCCTAAGTATAATATTGGATAATCAGCATAGATTAATTTCTAAAGAATAATAGAGCTTTTGCTGTAAGAGCTTGAGGGAAAGTATCAGTGGCCTTAGGACAAAGCACCCCCCCAGTTCTACCTTTAAGCAAAGCAAGAGCACAACAACCTACAGATATCCTCACAGAACATGCCTTCCACTAAGCTCCATTTCTCTTACCTGTTCTCATCTGGCATCCTATCAGCTCCCCTTCATCAAAATGGGTTTTGGATGGTGAAGTTGCTAAGATCACTGGAGGCTATGTTGTCCAAGAGCCTAAGAACTTAGCCTCCAGCTCTTCCTACCATGCCTCTGTCAGTGTAGGCATATGAACTAGATTTGAATCCAGAGAGATTTAGTTCAGGATTCAGAGTTTGAGTCATATGCAAATGTAATGACTGCTCTTACACTTTAGCCAACTGGAGGTTTTTCACAGACACTAATGAAATGCACAGTTTCTAGAAGTAATCTCATGTCTGTTCATTCTGAGGTCTGTTTATTAGCCTGTTCAATAAATCACTCCTACCTAGTGGAAAATAGATTTTTAACTCAGTGGATTTTCTTAAAACTGTGTTCTTTGTCTGAATTACCCCCAGTAGAATGTATAAGTCATGTCATATTGCACAGCACTAATAAAAATATTTTTAAAGTCTGAGACATAGGTGAGAACATACTCAACTTGTACTTTGATGGGTGTATGAAATGTGCTGGACATTGTCAGGGCATAACACATATAAAATCTATTTTTTCCAATAACTGGTTGTTTGGAGAACTGACAAATGATATTCAGGGGCCTCTCCTCTACTTCTTTCTACAGCAAGTGAGAAGGGATTGACATATTGGGTTCCATTGTCATTACCAGGCTTTCGTTGGTCATAGGATTGAATCCAAAGGGTATCTGTACCTTTTAAGATCCCCTAGACCTTTCTTACTCTGTTCCATTTAACAATTATTGAGTACTCTGAATGTGCTAGACAGTATGCCAGATGCTTTTCATGCATTGTCTCTTTTAATACAACAATTTAATAAGCTGGAGGCACTCATTTTACAAACACACAAATTAAGGCTTAGAGAATTTGAGAATCTTGCTCAAAGTTGGGACTTCACAGCCAAGTGTGGTGGCTTATGCCTGTAATCCCAGCACTTTGGGAGGCCGAGGTAGGTAGATCACTTGAGGTCAGGAGCTCAAGACTAGCCTGGCCAACATGGCAAAACCCTGTATCTACCAAAAATACAAAAATTAGCCAGGAGTAGTGACGCACACCTGTAATTCCAGCTACTAGAAAGGTTAAGGCACAAGAGGCTGAGACATGGGAGGCTGAGGCACAAATATTGCTTCAACTCAGGAGGCAGAGGTTGTAGTGAGCGAAGATCATGTCAGTGCACTCCAGCCTGCGTGACAGAGTGAGAGTCTCTCAAAAAAAAAAAAAAAATTAAAAGAGAAAAAAAGAGTCAGGACTTCAGAGTCTTTTATCTAGTATTGTCAGGCACTCTGTGAAGTGCTGAGAGTATACAAATGAGTATGATATAGACCCTTTCCTCAAGTGGCATATGGTTTAATAGAAACAGAAGTATTAAAACGTAATTTCATTTAAATGAGGTAAGTACCATGACAGAAATATGAGCAAAGAAGTTTTGGAAATGTAGAGGAGGATCATTACTTGAACTTAGGGCTTATAGAGAGGCTTCCTGGAGGAAGGGATGTTCAAGTTGAATCTTGCTGCATTGCCCACAGTGAACTAAGCTCTGGAGGTATATTAATAGATGGCCCTAGAGCTAAGAGTAAAGAACCCAAAGACCTTTGGGCCCAGAACATTTCTGGCAGAATTTACCAGTTCTGCATCATCCCTGCCCATTTGTATATAGGTATTTTTAAGCTCTGACCTTTTTCACTGATAATGATATATCTAAGTTCACAAATAAACCAAAAAAAATGGATGTCTAGACCTGAAATATTATTAATTTAATCAGTTAAATATCTGATTTCTTGAAAAGTACCACTACTTTTATGGCTCAATTTTATTAATGTCACATTAAAATTTTCAAGTTATAAAGTAGCAGATGCTGGATTAATAGTTGTTAAATATGTGATAGGTAAGTGAATTAATATCACATAACAAGGATCAACAATTTTTTTCTGTAAAAGGCCACATAGTAAATATTCTGGGCTTCATGGACATGTGGTCTGTGTCAATTGTGTTATAGCATGAAAGAAGCCATAGATGTTAAGGAAATGAATGAGCATCACTGTATTCCAATAAAGCATTACTTACAGAAAAGAAGGTTGCAGGTTGGATTTGGCCATGGACTGAAGCCTGCTAATCCACAACATAGAACAATCAAAACCTTACAAAAATTACAACGTTCTGGAGATAGGTGAATTCACCTCCTACAGAATATATTATTTGTAAATTTTGTGCTTACTTATGTGCAGGTAACGTATCTTGGGAAGGAGCTTTTAAAGTATGTTTCTGAGGATGTATCCATACTTCCAGAACCAACCTCAGTACCTCAGCAATATCAGCCTTGTCTTCCAGGTACGTACAGACCAACACTCATTTCTTAGTTTGGGATAAAAACAGCAAAACTTATTGGAAAAGCTCTGTCTCTTTTTTTGTCTTTTTTTCGATTGATGTGAAATTAACAATCATTATAATTAACTATTTCGAGGTAAGCAATTCAGTGGCATTTAATAAATTCACAATGTCATGCAACTACCTATGTCTATATAATTCTAAAACACTTTTATCATCCCAAAAAGAAAGCCCATACCCACTCAGCAGTTGCTTCTGATTCTCTATTTCTCCCAATTTCTGGAAAACACCAGACTGCCTTCAAACTTTGTTTCATGTACAAAATTATTAAAAATATTGGATCAAATTACCTTCAGGATTTGTTTATAGGTATATATGAAAACATAAATGAATTTCATGTTTAGACTTGTGTCCAATCCCCAACATATCTCATGTATATGCAAATATTCCAAAATTTGAAAAAATCAAAAATCCAAAATACTTCTGGTCCCAAGCATTGTGGACTAGGGATAGTCAACCTGTATTATATAGTAATTCTATGTTTCACTTTTTAAAGCACAGCAAAACTGTTTTCCACAGCAGCTGAATCATTTTACATTTCCACCAGTTTTTCTACATCTCTGCAACACTTGTTATTTTCTGTTTGTTTAATAGCACTCCATTGTTAACCTTAGTTAATTCTAGATAATTTAAGAAATGACCTTACCCCTCACAATTCCTTTCTCTGAATCTATGCTGTACTTACTTTGGCTGGATTTTTAAGTGACATATAAAAACTAAAAAAGGAAAATTTTATTCTGCCTGAAGACATCATTTGGTTTTACATGTTTTCTAAAAATAGGTGTTAAAATAAATCTTTGCTTATTAGAGTAAACTAATACACATTATCAAATGGGATAGCCTTTAGCCTGAGAAAATTAAAGAGGATGTAGTCTTTACCAATGAGCAGCAGATTTGGAAATGATCTGGGAAAAGGCAGCACACACTTCTGGACAATAGCCATAGCTACAGTTATATCCAGAGATGCTCGTTTGCTGCAGCATCTCCTCTTTTCTTCCTAGTGTCCCTGTCTTTTACCATTTGGGGATAATACAAAAGAGAGGAGGTAGAAAACAGAAAATGATGACACTGATAACCAGGGTCAAGAACCAAAAAGGATTTCTGTCACCAAGTCCCTACCCAGAGCCTCCCCAGGATTGTTCCTTTCCTATCACAAGCTCCAATAATTCAAACTGCATTCCATTCCTAACTTTTACACCCTAAATTCTCAGGATCCTTCTCTTTCACAAAAACTGGCTTTATTAATAGGGTGCATTCTCCACAGTTTTCTGAAGATAGCCTTAAAAGTGTTTTTCATCATTTTTGGGAAATAGACAACATTAATAACTGGTAACATTAAAACAGGTAACATTAATAACTGTGGGGAAGTTAAAGGGCTTAAGAAATTGAAAGGCGTTCTTGTAGTAGTTCATGGCCTTTGGTTCCTAACCTGACTACCTACCTAACCTACCTGATCAAATCATAGGGTAAGGCCCAGTAACCTGAATTTTAAAAGTGATTCTTACACAGCCAACCTAACTATAGACTTTGGATGACTAATTAATAGTATTTGATTTCTTCTGCAGATAGTAATTTGACAGTCCTTGGTATTCACCCCTTTACTTCGATTCCTGAGGGTGGAATAAGAATTGCTAAAGTACTCTATCCTCTCTCTCTCTCTCTCCCTCTCTCCCCCTGCCCCATCTCTCTCTCTCTCTCTCTCTCTCTCTCTCTCTCACACACACACACACACACACACACACACACACACACACACACACACGAAGGAAAACCAAGCATATGCTTTCTTCTTCTGGTTTCTAACCTAAGAGTCAAAGCAGAGTAGTAGGTTTTTCCTTCTATCATGAAGGTCATCTGCTTCTCAGATTTTCTAGTTGTAGACAGGCATTTCCAACCCTAGATAGGCATCTGCTTCCTCAGAGGGCACACAATCTCCCCGTTAAGTGCACATGAAATCAGAAATGGGTTCTGAACTGCTACTTCTGCTGCCTGTAATATAAAGTTTCTTGTTATTAATTTATTTTCAGAAATCCTGATTTTTCTTTCCATTAGATATTTCAGATTTTTTTTTATTGTACTTTAAGCTCTGGGGTACACGTGCAGATCTTGCAGGATTATTACATAGGTATACACATGCCATGATAGTTTGCTGCCTCCATCCCCCCATCACCTACATTAGGTATTTTTCCTAATGTTATGCCTCCTCAATCTCCCCACTCCCTGCTATTCTTCCCCTAGCCCCCCACCCCAGAATAGACCCCAGTGTGTGATGTTCCCCTCCCTGTGTCCATGTATTCTCATTGTTCAACACCCACTTATGAGTGAGAATATGCGGTGTTTGGTTTTCTGTTCTTGTGTCAGTTTGCTGAGAATGATGGTTTCCAGATTCATCCATGTCCCTGCATCATCCTTTTTTATGACTGCATAGTATTCCATGGTGTATATGTGCCACATTTTCTTTATCCAGTCTATCTTTGATGGGCATTTGAGTTGGTTCCAAGTCTTTGCTATTGTAAAAAGTGACACAATGAATGTACATGTGCATGTGTCTTTATAATAGATCAATTTATAATCCTTTGGGTATATACCCAGTAATGGGCTTGCTGGGTCAAATGGTATTTCCAATTCTAGATCCTTGAGGAATCGCCACAGAAAATTTTAATACTACCATGCCATTGCACTCCAGCCTGGGCAACAAGAGCAAAACTCTGTCTCAAAAAAAAAAAGAAAATTTTAATGTTAAGAATCATGGAGGTAGCAGTGTGCCAACCAGCTTCTTGCTACCTTGGTCTAGGCCTAAGAATCTAGAGGCAGGGCCCTGCTGGCATTCTGTAGGCTGCTGTTGGAGTTTTGTTTGAACCTCCTTGATTAGAATTCTTCTGTAGCCGGTTTTGTGGTACCTGATAGAAACCCAAAGACCTGGCAAGTTAGAAAAACACAAAACTCTCTAAGCCTATTACAAGAAATGTGTTCAAGAGAGAATCTTTCCCCCTCTTCTGCATATCAAAATATCATCTTGGAAATCATGGCTCTGACACTGCAGAGACCAGAAAGTCTAAAAAATTAATAATAATTTTGTGTGGCTTTCATCAGCCGACCTCAGATCACAAACATAATCTGTTCTCTTATGCTTTTTTATGATCATACTTTGTAGAATATGATTTTGGGGGAATAAGGGGAACTAGGAAGAGCTATTTTTATTTTATTATTTTATTTTTTAAACCATCTAGCCTAAAATGTCAAGAAAGAGCTATTTATACTTCCCATAGGTAGGGTGATCATCATCCTGATTTGACCAGAGCAGTCCCCTAATTCAGCAAAATTATTACGGACGTTTTGTTTCACTTTCAGAAGTTACTTGTTTAGATGACCCAGTACAGGAACCAAGCAAATCAACGTTTGAGAAAACAAAATTTGAACAAGGTAAAAAAAAAGAAAATGTTCAATTCCATTTACTTTTATAAGTGTTTAGATTCTACATATTATGCAAATAGATCAAATAGATGGTTAAATCTTATGCATATCACTCCATATTATAAATAGTTACTGGGTATGTCATCTTTATTTCCTGATAGACTGAGAAGATCTTTGAGTTCAGAGAACTTTTATGAACTCTTACTTCTTATATTCTTCAATGCTTGGCACACCATAGCTTTCCAATAAATGTTCGTTGAATAAATGAATGAATGAGTAAATGAAAGCATGAACATGATTCAAAAGATAGCTGTTTTCAAACTGGATTTACTTTGGTTGATTAATAGGACATTCCTAGATCTTACAGGCTATAATGGAATTTGTGGTGAAGAATTCAACAAATGGTAGATAGGATTTTGGTTAGTTAATACTATCTCCTTTATCTGAACTTGCTGTTTCTTTTCATTTTTTTAGACAGGGTCTTGCTCTGTCATACAGGCTGGAGTGTGGTGGCATAATCTCGGCTCACTGCAGCCTTAATCTCCCAGGTTCAAGTGATCCTCCTGCCTCAGCCTCCTAAGTAGTTGGGACTGCAAGCATGCGCCACCATGCCCAGCTAGGTGATTTTTTTTTTTTTTTTTTTTTGGTATTTTTTGTAGAGATGGGGTTTCACCATGTTGCCCAGGCTGGTCTCAAACTCCTGAACTCAAGTGATCTGCCCACCTCAGCCTCCCAAAGTGCTGGGATTATAGGCATGCACCACCATGTCCAGTCCTGAAATTACTGTTTCTAATTATGAGATACGAGTACTGGCCTTTCACATTGTCTCAGCCAGAAATTTAAAAGCAAATTCTCCCTCTCTTGCTTCCTCTCTCTCTTTATGAGAAATCATAAAGAATTCTATTTAAATTTGTTAATCAATACTTCCTAAACTTATTGAATCGGATGATATCCATTCACATTCAATAGAACAAATAGCAGAAGCCTCAATATCCAATCTGTTTACATATCATTTTGTATGCATGGTATCAAGAAAATCCTGAATCGTGAAGATAAATGATAAAAATTTTTGATCTTGCCATCTTACAACTTTCTTCAGTGAATCAGAGATGATGGAAGAGCTTTATTCCGAATTCTATACAAAAACTAATTGGTAACTTAAGTCAATGCATTGATGGACTCCAGAATGTTAAACAGTGGTATATTAACACATTTGAGGATGTATATTCTTACTGATTAAAGACTTTAAACATAAAAATACAAGCCTTTAAAAATGAAAGTCTGTCGATGAAATATTAATGAAACCTCTGAACCATCCATGATTTCTATAAGTCTTTTTAAGTTTTAAAATGGACTGAGTCCGTGGGACATTTTCCCTTGAAATGTCATAACTTCCTCCCAAGCCTCTCTCCTTTTTGCCTCTTTGGCTATATTTCCTCTTCTGTGTCATTGAGGGAATCTTCACTGATATTTCAATACAAACTGGAAAGGGAAAAATAAGCATTTCCAAACTTCTACGTTGTTTGTTATCACTAGGTATGGATGTATTGACATATTTTTCACAAAGTTATTTCTTTTTTAATTCCGTTAAGATAGATCACATTTCATTATTTACCAGGAAAACCAATTTTATATGTTTATATTCCCTGTCACCATAGTACCAAGACACTCAAAACACATTAAGCTAAATGTATTCATTTAAGCAAAAGAATAAGAGTATCTCCTTAAGTCTTTTATTTTCCAAGCCATCATTATAATAATTTACTAATTATATTTTCTTTCATGGGGACCCAAGATCATTTGTTCATTTGAAAATAGTTCATGCTTTTCCAGAAAAAAATAGGCTCTTTTTTGTTCCTAATAAAATGGTCCATTTGATAAAACAGTCCTACTGATAATCTGTTGTAAATAAATGACTTCAGTGACAGAGTTTTCTTCATTTCAGTGCTGTTATTATGGTTCATTTCTCTGTAAAAGTATGCATAACAGCACAAACACCCACAGGTGCTTCTGTTTTATGTGGTTAAGAGCTTTTTAAACCTTGAACACCCAAATATGGGTACCTGATAACAGTGTATAGGGTGTTTATTTCAGCTCTTATTTACAACTCTTGATTCTTTTTTATTTCTTTAATCATACTTTTTTTTTACTCTGTTATCATGATTAACACTCTTTTAACCTAACTCATAAAGTAGATAATATATCTACCAATAAACTGTTAATAGAACTTATATTTTATTTATTTAAAGTAGATATAATACACTGCATATATGTTGTGCTTTTTTTTTTTTTTTTTTTTTTTTTTTTTTGAGACAGAGTCTCACTGTGTCTCCCAGGCTGGAGTGCAATGGCGCAGTCTCAGCTCACTGCAATCTCTGCCTCCCAGGTTCAAGCGATTCTCTTGCCTCAGCCTCACTAGTAGCTGGGATTACAGGTGCCCACCACCATGCCCATCTAGTTTTTGTATTTTTTAGTAGGTTTCACCTTGTTGGTCAGAATGGTTTTCAACTCCTGACCTCATGATCCACCTGCCTCAGCCTCCCAAAGTGCTGGGATTACAGGCATGAGCCACCGCGCCTGGCCTAATTTTTATATTTTTAGTACAGATGGGGTTTCACTATGTTGTCCAGGCTAGTCTCAAACTCCTGACATCAGGTGATCCATGCACCTCGTCCTCTGAAAGTGCTAGGATTACAGGCATGAGCTACCATGGCAGGCCTGTGCTTTTTAAGAAAAGAAAAAGCAAACCATAATATTTGTGCTTTTGTGTAGAAATATATAGACATGGAGCAAAGGCTTGTTCAACTTCAAAAAAGGAAGAAGCTTTTAGCACTAACTTTGCTGAATGTTGTTTTCCTGAAATGATTCAAATAATTTTGATGTTCATATAATATATATTAAATGATATATTATATCTTATATAATATATTTTATATAATAAAATAACCTAGAAATTTTATTAAAAATTCAAACTGAGAACAAAAATTTGAAATCAATTTGCTGTAATATTACATTTACTTAAAAAAAACTTTTAGGTTTGGGGTAAATTTGCAGGTTTGTTACATATGTAAACTAATAACTCAGGTGTTTGGTGTACAGATTATTTCGTCAACCAGATACTGTATACTTACATTTACTTAAACAGGGATTACCCTATTTGGCTTAGTTGGGGATTACCCTAGCTGGCTCAGTTTTCTGTGTGTGTGTGTTTTTTGTTTTGTTGGTTTTCCACTCAGACATATAAGGTATTTTCTTGTAGATCTCAACAAATAAAATTTGAAGCTAGGAATAGTGGTTAGCCAAAAGTGCAAGATCCTGCTAAAGTACATAATGTAGGGCAGTACTGGCTGGAATGAAATGGGCAGAGAATGCTATGGTGGAAGGAGTTTAGGGAGACCTAGTGCAGTGGAGGAGAAGGAGCAGAAGAGATTGAGATGATGAGAACAAGTGTATTGTAAGGATGATCTTTCTTTTTCTTCCGTTCTCATCACTATGGAAAGGAAACTGTTCTGTAAGAAACTATTGGTAGTCTTAACACTATGTTTTGTGATCTGACATGCATGTTCTCAGAGCTTCATTTCCATGGGATTACCCTGGAAGGTGCCACCTTCTACTACTGAGGAGCGAGCTACTTGTAGTTTACTAAAGTCCTATGATTATAGGAAATTGAGAAGTATATGTATGCTGACAGTGAACTTGAGTGGAGTTGGGATGGGATTTTGACTGCCGTGCCTGCACAATACTAAACCAGCTGGAATATAAACTATAGCGGTCTTATGGCTGTACTAGCCAGTCATGGCTAACTAACCTGTTGAGAAAAATATAAATCAAAACCATGATACGCTATTGACTTTAGTAATAAAGTCGACCCTGCTTAAAAAAAAAAAAAAAAGAGAAGGTGGGCCTAAAATGGCCCCATTCTGCTAATTCATTGCAGGCTTTAAGGGAGAGAGAGACTGGGTTTATCTCCAAGCAAAACTAGTTTAGAATACAAAGTATTATTGTTTTGTTATTTTTTTAAATTGTACCTTAGGTTCTGAGGTACATATGAAGATCATGTAGGATTGTTGCATAGGTACACACATGGCAATGTGGTTTGCTGCCTCCATACCCCTCCCTCCCCATCACCTACATCTGGCCTTTTTCCCCATGTTATCCCTCCCTGACCTCCCCTCACCACCCGCTGTCCTTCCCTTGGCCATCCCCCAGCAGACCCCAGTGTTTGATTCTCCCCTCCCTATGTCCATGGTCCATGTGTTCTCATTGTTCAATATCCACCTGTGAGTGAGAACATGTGGTGTTTGATTTTCTGTTCTTGTGTCAGTTTGCTGAGAATGATGGTTTCCAGATTCATCCATGTCCCTACAAAGGACATGAACTCATCATTTCTTATGGCTGCATAGTATTCCATGGTATATATGTGCCACGTTTTCCTTGTCCAGTCTATTGTCAATGGGTATTTGGATTGGTTCCAGGTCTTTGCTATTGTAAACAGTGCTGCTATGAACATACGTGTGCATGTGTCCTTATAATAGAATGATTTATAATCCTTTGGGTATATGCCCAGTATTGGGATTGCTGGGTCAAATGGAATTTCTATTTCTAGATCCTTGAGGAAGCGTCACACTGTCTTCCACAATGGTTGAACTAGTTTACATTCCCACCAACAGTGTAAAAGTGTTCCTATTTCTCCACATCGTCTCCAGCACACGTTGTCTCCAGGTTTTTTAATGATTGCCATTCTAACTGGCATGAGGTGGTATCTCAATGTGGTTTTGATTTGCATTTCTCTAATAATCAGTGATGACGAGCATTTTTTCATATGTTTGTTGGCCTCGTATATGTCTTCATTTGAAAAGTGTCTGTTCATATCCTTCTCCCACTTTCGAATGGGTTTGTTTGTTTTTTTCTTGTAAATCTGTTTTAGCTCTTTGTAGATTTTGGATATTAGCCCCTTGTCAGATGGGTAGATTCAAAAATTTTTTCCCATTCTGTTGGTTCCCAGTTCA